TTGCATTCCAATGAACTGTCACATAAGTTTTCGCTCTGGTATCTTCTTTGACAATTAATGTTTTCATTGAGTTCCCCTAAATTTTCCATGAGATACAGAAGAAGGGAAGCCATGACAGAAATGTCCTCCTTGTGGCAATAACTGGAGCATCATTATTTGTTTATAATAGCTAAAGGGTACTCTGGCACTGGGGGATTTGGCAACAACCCAAAAATGTTATATCCTTCCCAAGATATTTAGATACACAAAGCTAAGAAATCCTGAGACAAAGACCTCTGATTCTCCCAAGAACTATTTCAGATAAGGCCGTTTTGTTCACTTTTAGTTACAAACAAGAGACCTCTCTTTGGAAAGAATTTCAGCAGCTGTCTATTACAAGAACTACTTGGGTAGGAAATATTTGATACCAATATGTTGGTTGTCAGAGTTTCAGGTAAATTGAAATCATTGTTAGGCTGATGTGCCAACAGGGATAGGTTTCAATGGTTAAGTAAGTTACCATCTCTTCAGAAAGATGCTGTTGGCAGAGGCATTGTTACAGCACGCACTTTCCTATTAGGGTAGAATCCTCAAGGGACTCATGTGGCTTTGCAAGCAATCATTAGTGAAGCTTCCCACTATAACTAAAAACATATGCTTAAATATTGTTTTTGAAAATGACACAAGTGTTTAAATACCAACAAAAAAAGTCTATGTAAAGGTGCCAGAAACTTATGTGGTAAGAAAAGCCAAAGAATTTGTGCAAAAGCATGTTTCTTACTGTCTTCTATCTGAATATACGCTGCTGAACAATTTTAAAAGGCTTAAAAATTCCATCCATGAAATCTTCATAAAATATGTAGATTTTCAAGAAAAAAACAATCTGATTGTGGCATCAAAGTCCACATTTAAGACAGGCTTCAAAAGCAAAAAGCAAAAAAAAAAAAAAAAACCTGCCATCTTTTCTAGGTAATATGAGACATTAATTAGGGAGAGGTGTGACTCCAAATTACAACTTAGCTTCAGGAAAAAAAAATTTTTTTTTCAAATATAAACTCCACATTGGATGATCTGAGCTGAGGGTAAAAGCAATTCTTTGTAGTCATTTACATAGAGGCTGTATAGAGAACACAGCTTTTATGTAAATGAAGATTAGCTTCTGGAGTCATTTATTAATTTGTTTCATTATATAAGTAACAGTAGACAGAGTTATGATTTTCAATTTATCTTGATAAATATATCTCAAGCTTACCAAGTACTATGCTATTCCTAGAGAGAAATTATATATCAAGGAGACATAGAACCTTGAGAGGAATGTACAATAATGAATACAAATATGGGAGATAGGATTAAGTGCTGGTTAGAAAGTTTTAGCAGAAGATAAGCTGAGTTTGAAGTATGATGTTTGAAATGTTAATGGGTTATACAATGTCTGTTACCCAACAGTAAGCTGTAAATGCAAATACAAGCATAATAATGGCAAGGACTAATGGTACACATTTGTGATTTGTTTTCAAGGATAGATAATTGAAGCCAAATGAATAAATAAGATGGCCAAGGAATGAATATATATATATAAAGAGAGAGAGAGAATGAACTATGGACAGAACCTCGGGGAATACCCACACTTGTGGGGAGGAGGAAGTCAGCTAATCAAGAGGGAACAGCCAAGGAAAGAGGGGAATTATGTCACACATGGCTGAAGCAATAGGAAAAGAAAGATTCTACAATGCTAAATGATGCAAAGAGGAGAGAGAGGTATTTAAGTGGTTAAAAGACTGTTTTTCTTATCATGAGAACATGCAAGACCTTGCAAAATCAGTAATACAGCAGAGGTGGCTGTGGGTGAAGATATATGTATAGTTTTGTATCCCAGCAGAAGGTTTCTAAGCTAAGTATTCAATAGAGGATTAAAAGGAAGAGTAAAATGAATAAGAACATAATTGATAACAAAGGTCACATAGATGGCAGGATGAGATATAAATTGAGAGCAGAATGGGGAATGGTTAGTTTGGGAAGGGAGGATTATTCCTCCAACATC